TCGTTCACCTTGAGTTTCCTCACCTATAAAATGAGAGAATTACAACAGGTTTTCCTCAAAAGTTCCATACAGTTCTAATAGTCTATAACTATAATGAAAACTCAAACATAGAAATTATTCTATGACTTGGCAATTTTACATATACATATACATATATTTACATGTATGTACACATATATACAGAGAGAGAGAACTCACACAAATGTACAAGGAGATGCACATAAAGTTGTTCATAGCATTGTTGTATGTAATAACAAAAAAATAAGAAATAATTTAAATTTTCATTATGAAGAAATGTGTAAGTAAACAGTAGGATAATAATATATGGAATACCGCACATAAGTGAGAAGGAATGGCCTAGAACTATATATAACAATATGGATGAATCTCACCTTGAATGAAAAAAACAAGTGTCCAAAGAATACATACACTATGATGAAATTATTTATATAAAGTTTTGAAATATGTAGAACAATAACATGTGTAACTGACCTAGTAAAATTACAAGGATGTATATCATGATGCTTTATATGAAATTTAGAAAATGGTCCTCTTATGGTGGGTGGAAGGAAGGCAGAAGCAACAGTTCTGGCACAGGGCCTGGACAGGACTGGTAGAGCTTTATTTCTAGGCTGGGTAGTAGATGGATACTCTATGTCCATTGTGTAATTTTTATACCTTTTAAAAATTATTAAACATGTCTAATAAATTTGTTATGTGACATATCACTTCCAAATCCTTTTTGCAGCCTTATGGAAATGATTAACCCCATATCCTGATCTTTCAAGAAGACTTCTTTTCACGAACTATGAAAAATAGGCTTTTCTTATGTTTCTCTTGACAAAATTATAGTGCAGGAAGACTCCTATTATCTTGTGAGGTCAGAGCCAAACCTTGAGATGACAGAGCACACAGACCCAATCAACAAGTAGCTGACTTTTGACAGTGGTGGAAAATCAAATTAGTATGCTACATTTTTCTGCACCCTGTGAAAATATTCCTCTTACTCCTCCTCCATTCACCATTCCCTAGCGATAGTTGATGTTCCCTTTCATCCTAGCATTGGTAATGTGATGTGAAGCCTATGACTGATTTTGAGTTTGGTTTTGATTTGAGACTTTCACACCACCAACTCCAGCTGTTAAAATTTCCCTTATTAGAGAATTTATTCTTATGGTGCTGCTTGGTTGTCATGTCATAGATTTGCATTTTAAAAAAAAGAATGTTTTTTTCAATGAGAAAGAAAACCTAGGTAACATGCCTCTACTTTGCATCAAAGATGTTATGTTCCATATATTGAACAAACTATTCGCAGATACATTATAACAACAGTTAGTGGACAGTGGGTCAGACATTGGATAGGAATGGTGTTCTTATTTCCTACAACTTGTTATGTTGCCCACTTGGTTCAGGTTAGAATCTAGTCTGCAAGAATCCGACAGAGCTTTTCTTGCCTAGATTTTATGTTGTCTTCTTATCTCAATCTCTCCAAGTGGCAACTGTGAAACCCCTAGAACAATGAGAATCAACGTGAAACCAGTAGCTAAAGAGATATTTTTAAAAATGAACAGTTTTCTGAGATAATGATTTTCATTCTCATCAATTCAGTAAATATTTATTGAGTTCCCACTACACGTCAGGCATTGTTGTAGGTAGGGAGAATGAAGCAGTGAACAAAAATGGGCCAGACCCCTGCCTTTATGGAGCTTGCATTCTTGTGAGTTCTTGGAATAACTCCTACAATTGAAATGGCCACCCAGGTGCAAATGATGATAAAGATGATGGCTGACAAGCTCTTCCAGAAAGCTTTGTATGTTCCTCCATGATCCTCGAAGCTAAGCAAAGTGCCTTCCTCCATGCTCCTAGGACACCCTGAGCACACCTTAGCTGCTTGGGCATCTTGGCTGCCTTTGAATCCCAGCTCTGCCACTAACCAGCTGGGAGACCTTGGGCCAGGTACTCAACCCTCTGAGCTTAGTAACAGTAAGTAATTCTTACTGATCATCTCCTTTTTCCAGGCACTCTGCTAAGTGTTTTGCATAAATCATTTTATTTCATCCTCCCACCAATACTACAAGGTAGATCCTATTACTATTACTCTTTTACTAATAAGAAAACTGAAGCCCAACAAGGTTAAGTAACCTACTCAAGGTCAGTCATGCAGGTAGTAAGTGACACCAGAAACATAGTAAGGACCCCATAAATATTAGCCTCACCAGGGCTGGGACTAGGGTAAGACAGGTGAAGTGAGGCCTACAAAGAATCTTGTCTTAATTTAGAATTTTGTATTTATTTAGAATTTTGTTATTTTGTTTATTGTGGATTTTTTTGCATTTATTTTGATTTTTTGAAAACATTGCACCAAAATACTTATCTTGAATACTGAAGTTTTTGGTACCTATTAAATTTATGCCCAAAATGAGTGTCTTTCTCATGTCACTCTAATCACAGAATCATTGTTATCATTTGTATCACATTTAAAGGGAGGAATTACCTATTTATTTGTTGGTTACCCTGGCTAAACATTTAGCCATTTAAATGTAGCACCCATGTCTCGTATCCATAAAACCTAATAAAGACTTGGAACAGAATAGATGTTCAATAAATATTTGTTGAACCCAACTTTCTACTCTATAATAATTCAAAAGAAGACTAATTTCTATGCAGTAAGAGAAGAGAACTGGGTGAACTCTTCAATCTCTATGTAGTCCAATTAGCCAATTTTGTGTTATTGTTGGCAATAATACTATTAATATTATTTACACATTAACCATAGCTATCGGGTATTGAGTATCTACCAGTGCCACACACTTAGTGTACCTTAACTCAAAATTCTCACTACAAAGCTGGAAACTGAGGCTCAGCAATGTGGAGTCACTCACTCAGGATCACATGGCTAATAAGCGGCAGTCAGCATTGAGCCCAGATCAGCGAGAGTCCAAACCTGGGCCCTTTCCACCCCACCACCTCCCTTTCTATTGCAGTTCACAGTCAGTGGTGGTGATATGAGAAAGGCATGCCATGGTCATGAAGAAGGGAGTGGGCCAGATGAAGAAGATGGTAAAGGTATGCAAAGAAAATATGTGTACAAAGTGCCCACCTGAGGGGGGAGGGGGCTGCTGGGTCTTTCTGTGCACTTGCACAATGGCATCTCTGCCAGTCGCTATAAGGTTGTCTTGGAGATCGTCTCATGCTCTAGCATGACTTGACCCATATCAACCCAAAAAGATGAATCCAGGACCTGTCCTAGTGTGTGGAATATGGAAGTAAGCTGTACATTGGTCTTCCTGACCTGCCTCCTCTCAAGTAAATTGAGTAGTCAGCTCGATTGGTTGACAAGAAATCCATATATTTGGTCAGTGGTGATGACACCCCAGGCCAGACACAGGAGAGCCAGCAGTTCTCAACGTTGTGTCCTTTGTCCCCCAAACTACAATGGGTCAGCACTAAGTTTCCAAGATCCTGCCCTGGTTTCCACCATCAATGATGTGTTATGGTGGTATTTTCCAAAGTGTATTTTGTAAACATCAGTACTGTGTGGAATTCTGTGGTTAAATAAGATTAAACAGGCTTTTCTACCTCCCAGGGAATTTCTTTACACAGAGCACTCCTTGAGACCAGCATTTCGTGAGATGCACTTGGGGAAATGGTGTGGCAGGATCCTTTAAATACTTTCTCCAAGCCGCGCGCGGTGGCTCACGCCTGTAATCCTAGCACTCTGGGAGGCCGAGGTAGGCGGATTGCTTGAGGTCAGGAGTTTGAAACCAGCCTGAGCAAGAGTGAGACCACCTCTCTACTATCAAATAGAAAGAAATTAAAATAGAAAGAAATTAATTGACCAACTAATATATATAGAAAAAATTAGCGGGCATGGGGGCGCATGCCTGTAGTCCCAGCTACTCGGGAGGCTGAGGCAGGAGGATCGCTTGAGCCCAAGAGTTTGAGGTTGCTGTGAGCTAGGCTGACGCCACAGCACTCACTCTAGCCTGGGCAACAGAGTGAGACTCTGTCTCAAAAAAAAAAAATAAATAAATTGATAAATAAATACTTTCTCCTTAGGAAGCACCAAAAGGGTGACAATTTGGGAAATGATTCTTAAATAGAAATGGTGTTGTTCTCTTTTTTTTTCTTTTTTCACTGTAAAAATAAGATAATATAACTAGATAAACAAAAGTTTTGAAAATAGAAATCATCCTATTTTCACAACTTTAAAATATTCCTTTCCTGTCTTTTCCATACCTATACATCTCCAAATGCATATCTGTGGAAGAGTGGGGGTGGGGAGTGTATCAAGCACTGTGCTAAATGCTTTGCACGTGTCCTCTCATTTAATCCTCACAGTAACTCTGACTTAGCAACTAGAATCCCAATCCCCATGTTACATCAGGTCAATTTCCTGATGGCTCAGAGGATTTAAGTCATTTTCCAAACTTATGTCACAAGAGGCTACTGAGCCAGTGTTTAAACACGGTTACTTTCTCACTTCATAGCCTATGTGTTTAAGCACTGAAATGATGAAATCATTGTTTTCTAAACTGGAAAAAAATATTTATCTTGAATTTATTACCAGGGAGTTTATCTTATCTTGGATCATCACGCAGCTCAATTCTGTGTGATGATAAAAGTACATTCTGGAATTGTTCTGCTTTTCATTTGTCCTTGCCTTTCTTCCCTGACTTTCAGTAAGTGTCACAGGGCTCCACAGCACATAATCCTAAATGCAGTACCACTTTGTTTTCTGTTTTATGGCTCTATAATCTCCTCTGTTGTAAATACATTCAGAAATGATTGTGGCTTTTTCTTGAAGCAGCAACATTTTTTAAAAAGTGATTTATTTTGATAGTGCTTTAGCCTCGTGATTTCAAGTATTAAGTTACTTGGTTCAGGTGGTCTTATATTTTTCCCATAAATGTGTTTATGTCACCCCACAGACTGAGAAATTTCATTTCAGGGTTTTTTCTCTCTCTCTCTCTTTCTTTCTTCATTTGATTTTCTTGCAGGAGGAGAACAGAATTCTTTGAACTTGTCAGTAAAGGAGAATGTGATTGGAACATCAAAAACCATCGTGATATATTTCGGTAAGAAAACGTTCTTGTTTATGTGTTTCTTCAATATTTGGACATTGAGCCGCACATTTCCGACAGTGGTAAGAGCATGGAAGTGATTTTTAAAGTGACAAATCTTAGCTTACATTCAAAACATTCAGAGATTAGTCGAATAGAGAAAAGATAGAATATGTGTCTTTTTGTCTTATAATTTATTACAGTTTTGCCTCCTCTCCATAAATCTGCCTTCAAAAATAGAAAATAATGTTCAAGCTAGTTCAGTGTCAGCAAGCCATGATTCCCTCTCTTTCTTGAGGGGAGGAGGGTGCAAGTGGGGAGCAGAAGGGATTTTTGAACCTTAGAAATCAGAGTTACATAGCACAGAGGAAAGTGGAGGGTTACCTTTTGCTTTTCTTTAGTGACAATAGGCAACAAGAGGATAGAGAACCAGTCAGAGCAATTTTGGGGGTGGGAGAGGCTATTCCAGATGTTACACTGGACTTCCTCCTAGCTGTTGAGAAAGGACAGCAGCAACCTGCTGTGTTTACGTGGCATATTCTAACCACTCTATTGCAACTGCTCCAGATGGTAGAGCCAATCCTCTTTCTTTCCTGCCCTCTCCTCCCTCCTTCTTCACCTCACCCATCCTGGACCTTCTGCTGTCCTCTTCCTGTTCTGACACTGCCAAGTCTTGCTGGGAAAGCTTGTGAGGCCAGGATTGGGGTGCTCTGGGTCTGCTCCACAACCAGGCAACTGCTGGAATCCCCTGCGTGGGATTCCCACCACTGTCCCCGGCATCTGCTGTATCCCACCTCTGCCCCCATCTTCGGCACGCTGCAGCTGACCTTCCCATCTCCCGCTGAAGCCTTCTTCCCTCTCTACTTTGATATTTCTCTGTGTTCTCTGTTTTTTTTTTTTTTTCTTTTTTTTTTTTGAGACAGTGTCTTACTCTGTTGCCCGGGCTAGAGTGCCGTGGCGTCAGCCTAGCTCACAGCAACCTCAAACACCTGGGCTCAAGCAATCCTCCTACATCAGCCTCCTGAGTAGCTGGGACTACAGGCATGCGCCACCATGCCCGGCTAATTATATATATATATATATTTGGGTTTTTTTTAGTTGGCCAATTAATTTCTTTCTATTTTTAGTAAAGACGAGGTCTCGCTCTTGCTCAGGCTGATTTTGAAATCCTGACCTTGAGCGATCCACCTGCCTTGGCCTCCCAGAGTGCTAGGATTACAGGCGTGAGCCACCACGCCCGGCCTCTCTGTGTTCTCTTTACAGACTTTTTTCTTCATCCTTTCCAGAGAGAGAGACCCTTCCTCTCTTCAAGACTAGCCCCTCCACTTGTGTCCTAATTCCATTCCCTCCACCTCCCTATCGCCCACCCGCAGCCTTGCTATATCGATCATGCTTCTTTGGCCTCCATTTTCGAAATCTGTTGTTTTCCATCATGACCTACAAATGTGCTTCCACCTCAATCAGAAAATCTGTCCTGCCTTTTCTTCAGGTCCCATCACAGCTTCCTCCTCTTCCCTCCCACACTTCACTCACACATCCCCTAACTTCTTGCAAGGCAACGTCTTTCTTTTTGTATAATTTTTAATTCGTGAGTAATTAGATGAATATATTTTTCTGTAACACATGAAACATTGCAGATAAACTCCTTGGAGCTCCCTCCACTCCCAACTCCCATACTGGTTGCGCAGTTACACTTCGTCTTCAGTTTGTCATGTCTTTCCAGATCATTTTCAAAGCATTTTCACACATGAGTACCCTAAGGAAAAATATCATCTAGTGTGGATTTGTATTGTTACTTTTAACATAAGTTATATATTTACATCCCAAGATGAACTTGCTTTTCCACTCAACTGTATGCCTTGGACTTCTTGTCGTGTTCATACCTCATCATCTTTTATCATCGCATGGTATTCCAAAACATGGATGTACCACAGCATACTTAGCTATTCCTCTGCTCAGGAATTAAGTCTGTGAAATGTGATTTCTGCTCTTTTTGAAAGTCACTGGTCACCTCTCAAGTATCAAAACCCACATTCTTTGTCTTCTTCAGCTTCCTCGATCTCTTTGCAGCCCCTAATTAAACATGCCTTTCCTTTCTTCAAACACTCTCCAGCCTTGAATTCTGCAAAGCTATGCTCTTCTGGATTTTCTCCTTTCTTCCTGACTCTTCCTTCCCTTCTTTGTCCTTCTGTAGCCCTTCTTCCTCCCCCCAAACATAACTGTCCCCCAAGCACCTGTTTTTGATTCTCTTCTCTTGTTCCTCAGCATCCTCATGATTTCTCCTGCCATCTCTTCTCAAATGACTCCCAGCCTGTTTCTTGGGCTCTAGCCTCTCTTCTGAGCTCCACTCCAAAAATGCCAGTCCTCCTTCAATATCTTCCCCTGGATGTTTTTCTGTAGATATTTTCAAACTTTTTTTGGCTGGGAACCCCATATGGAGGAAATACCTTGTTTGGAAGTGCAATATGCAAAATAAAAGTGCATGCCCCTCCCCCCGACCCTCCCCCCTCTTCCATTCATGATTAGACTTGGGCCATGGTGCACTGGGATGGGGATGTGATGAAGTACTGTCCGTACAGGATTTAAAACTAGTAATACAACCAACTAAAAGTCAGTCTGCTTTTCATTATCACCATGTGCCAGCAAGTCTAAGCAAAGTCACTGATGAGATACTCCTCCTGAAAAATGTCTTGGTTGGTATAAATTCTGAACAATTGCTGAAGTTATTGTTGAGAATCGTAATAATTGATATAAAAGCTTCCAATTAGCACACGTTTATTACTTATCCTTTCTTTGTACATGTATCATAAATTAATTCCAAGAATGTCTAGTTGTACAGTCAGCCCCTGACACAGGTGGACTCAGCTACAAGCTCTCAGGAGTAAGTTCCTGTTTGGAACCTTTTGAACTTACTCTGGGTGTAGTTTATGTCTTTAACCTTGAAGAATCTCATATTCCTGCTTTTAAAGACTATATTTAGGATAAACAAGGCTAACACAGTGATGGTAGAGATGAAGAAATATAACTTGAGTTATTTCCATCCTGTCATTTTATATAACTATTTTGAGTTTTTGTTTGTGTTTAAAATTTAAAACAGTGAAACAAAGTGCAAACTTCAAGGTGAAACACTTTTATTTCATAAGTGCAAATTTCAGTTCATACATGAAATGTTTTATTGAATTTGAATACATCTTTGGAATTAAAATGTATTCCTTTTAATTTGGCAGTTGTTTTAAAACTATAGAACAAATCAAGAAAATAGTGATTATCACAAATTATTATTGAAATAATTATGGCATTTAGAGGAGAGGTATGTTAAAAATAATCTGCTGCAAGTATCAGGTATATTGGGTACACCACTGTGCTTTTCCCTTATTCCAGACCATTCATTCAATTGCACTAAACAGATTGACACAATTTACCTGTGAATTTAACTAGAATTATGGGCACCTCAAGACTAAAACAGTCAATACAAACTTTCTGCAGAGAATTGATCTAAAAATAAGATAAAACTGCTCCTTTGTCTCCTTCAGTTCTTCCTTTGTAATCTTCCATCCTTGTCCTTGCCTGTCCACTCCCCCATCTTTGTTTCAGGCTCTTATCAACTTATGCTTCCAACTGGTCTCTTTCCTTCCACTCTCTCCTTCTTCAAAGCGTCTTCACTTCTATTATCTCAAGTTTCCTCCCTAAAAGTCTAGCCAGGTCTTTCCTGAGTCCCCAGCCTTAATTGACTCCCCAGTGACAACTGAACAAAAGTTTCATCCAGGCCAGGCGCGGTGGCTCACGCTTGTAATCCTAGCACTCTGGGAGGCCGAGGTGGGAGGATTGCTCAAGGTCAGGAGTTCAAAACCAGCCTGAGCGAGACACCGTCTCTACTATAAAAATAGAAAGAAATTAATTGGCCAACTAATACATATATATATAAAAAATTAGCCGGGCATGGTGGCTCGTGCCTGTAGTCCCAGCGACTCGGGAGGCTGAGGCAGTAGGATTGCTTAAGCCCAGGAGTTTGAGGTTGCTGTGAGCTAGGCTGACGCCACGGCACTCACTCTAGCCTAGGCAAGAAAGCGAGACTCTTATTACAGAACACGTTCTTACAAAAAAAAAAAAAGAAGAAAGAAAGCGAGACTCTGTCTCAAAAAAAAAAAAAAAAAAAAAGTTTCATCCAGTCCACCCACCCTACCAACCTCCCAGCCCTTCCCATCTTCCTTCTCTGTGTAGACTTTCTGCTCCACTGTAGAGCACTCACTGGAGTCAAAATCCTTCCATCAGACTTAGGAATTCTGGCCCTACTTTTGATACCTCCTAGCTATATAACCTTGGGCAAGTTACCTACCCTTTCCAACCCTTAATTTTTTGATCTGCAAAAAGGAGATAATAATAATATCTCTACTTCATATAGAGACTATGTCAATCACCTTGTAGTGGCGGCCCAAAGAAGAGTAGCTATAAGAATTATCATTTGAGCACCTTGCAGATACTCAATAAACATATTGACCAACCAATTAATGGTGATATAAATTTCAGAAGTAAGTCTCCAATTTTCAATTGGACAGAGCCTAAGTAATTATCCAAGTTATGATACAAGCAGGCAGCCTCACAGAGATTATTTCCCATGCAGGAGAGACGCTGCAGAGTGTATGTATTACCCACAGTCTCATCTCCATGATAGAACCTAGAACGAGAAGCATCGCAGTATAGCAGGAGGGCGTCTGGTAGCTTTGCCAGAAGCATAGGATCCTGAATCGTCTGCTCACTTGGGGAAAGTTACCTAATCTCTCGATGCTTCTGTTTACTTATCCGTGAAATAGGAATAACAGCACCTACCTCTGGGGTTGTGATGAGGATTCATTTAGGTAGTGGTTAGTTAGTAGTGAGTTAGTAGTACGTGGTGGTTAACACAGGGATGTTTGGCATTAGATGCTTCATAAAAGGTGCCTGCATCCAAGAGGGCGAGGACTGCAGATGCCGGTGCTGCCTGGTCGAGCCTTGAATGACCTATTGTTATCCGCGCTCCGTCTGGTTCCCTGGAGGCGTTTCCTGGGGAAGTTACACAACCCCCCCTGCCATCCAGCAGGCTCTGCCATCTGGGCAGCAGACATGTTTCCAAGGTGTCCGGATCCGGCAGGGTATGAAATGTTAACACCTGACATCAGGACAGCCCTGTGACCTACAACAACACCCCTTTCTTCCAAAAGCAGTTAGCCGAGATGTGGTTCCCCAGCTCAAATCCGACATTACTTTTCATCACATGCTGCAGGTCTTAGCACAAAGAAGGTGGATTTGAGACAAAGAGTGCGCCTTATTTTCCCCCTCCCACCCTATCCAATTATAAGCACCAGAGCTACGTATAACTTGAATTGTTCCTCATGTTTCTATGGTTTCGTGTGAATTCTAGTTAAATCTGCCCCTCGAACATCTGATTCAGATGGTTCCTATGCTTCCTTACGTGCTCAAATTAATGAAGGCTGTAGCAGAGTGTGTTTCTTCTTCATAATGCTTATAAAACATGGTTGGAGCCAGGTAGTAAACTGGAGGGAGACAGGGTGGCTCCCCCCCATAAATCTCAGCTCTACGGAGCAGATGAAAATGCGGGGCTCCCGTGTGCTGTGTGCCTCCGCTCCTTGGTGTGTGTTTTGTTCCATTCCCTTCAATCAGTCATAAGTTGGTAAATTGTTTCATCAGCCATCTATAGTGCTATATACTGACTCCCTTGCTTACAGTTAAAAAAAAAAAACTCCAATAACACTGTCCATTATAAATTATTTTAAACAGAGCCTACTTAGCTCAGGTATAGAGAAAGAAGTACTTTGCTTTCCTTGATTTGCTGCAGACAAAACAAAAGGGCCACCGGAGGATGTGTGGGAGCTTTGTCTTCCTAAGCAGTGTGACCGCATGATGGAGATGCTGAACACAGGGACTATAAACAGTGCTGCCCCTTGTTGAGGAAAGGAAGATGTGAGCCGGCCTCCTTTCCATTTTATTTATTTATGTATCTAGGACAGGTTTGTTTAGGAATGCAACAAAAGATTATTCAGGCTGTTTTGTTTGGTTCTGTTTTTCAGATCAATGTTAATGACAGCCTGTGACCTTGGAGCCGTGACCAAACCGTGGGAGATCTCAAGACAGGCAAGTGGTGATTAATGGCAGGGCTCGGCAGAGGCGGGGGTTGGGGGGACAATATTCCCAGAGCCCTGACTACCGTAAGGCACTGAAACCCCAGTCAATTTGCATCAATATTAACATGGTGTAAAAAATAGCAGGAGGCTTAGGCGCAACATGGTTTATTGCATAGCCTTTTCTTTATCGCCTCCACTGAGCAATAATATTTCTGACGCTAACATTTTTTTTTAAGTGCTAAATCCAAACAACACTTTGACCATTTCTTATGGCAAGAGTTTCAAAAGTGTTTTTGGCTAGGCAATCATGTCTTAGCATGGGGCCCTGTTTTTCACATCTGAAAAAAAAAAGAGGTAAAAGGAAATTCTATTTTTCTTTTCTTTTCAAATACTGTTTAGATATCAGACAGTTCTGTGGCCAGAATGTTCAGTTTCCAGTTTAATTTGTAGCAAAGAAATCATGCCTTTACTACCTATCTGGTTTCTCTGCCATAAAACATTAGTTCTGTAGCAAGAATAATTTTTAATCAAATAACTATCTGACTTAAGATCTTTGTTACTGACAGTATTTAGAGGTTAATATGCCTTTAAGTTTTATGAGGCACCTACTATGTGGGCTGTGGTGTCCAAAACAGTAACTTGGCATCTTAAGACTTGACATTTTAGGGAAAATAAGATATCTTCCTATATCAATAAATACATATTGACTGCTTTATGTACATTATTTCATTTAATCCTCAAAATCTCCCTTTAGGCAGGTATAATTACTATGGTAGGCTGAATAATGACCACCCACAGATATCAAGTTCTAATCCCTAGAGCCTGTAAACATTATCTTAGAGGAAAAGGTGTCTGCAGGTGTTATTAAATTAAGGATCTTGACTGAAGACAGTATCCTGGGAGATTACACATTCGGTAGAGGAGAAGGCACTGTGAAGGCAAGGCAGAGATTGGAGTGATGCGGCCACAATCAAAGGAATGCTGGCAGCCACCAGAAACTGGAAGAGACAGGAAACAGATTCTCTCCAAGAGCCCTAGAGGGAGCACATCTCTCCTGACACCTTGATTTCTGCCCAGTGAACTGATGTAGAACTCCTGGCCTCCAGACCTATGAGAGAATAAATTCCTGCTATTTTAGCCACAACGTTTGTGGTAATTTATAGCAGGCTTAGGAAACTAATATAGTTATTATCCCCATTTCACAAATGGGAAAAACGGCTTAGAAATGATAAACAGTCAGGGGTCACACATCTGGAAGATGGTGGAGCTAGGTATAGCAGATTAGGCTCCAGGCATCCTACACAAGATGCATCAATCATCATTTTTAAATGATGCAAGTATGTCCACAGAATAGGCTATGTTACCACTAAATCCAAAAATCTCAGTGGATTTAAGCAACAAATTGCTCATGAACATGTGCATCTAGAATTGGCTCATGCCTCTTTGTCCTCATTCTGCACTGGGGTTGATGGAGCAGCCACTACCCAGATCATTCTGGCAGAAGCCCTAGAAGGTCTTGCACTGGCAATTAAATGTCCCTCCCCCAATAATTCATTGGTCAGAATTTGTCACATGACTCTCCTCATGCAGGAAGTATAATCTTTCTATTCACCCAGAAAGGAAAAAGCCAGAAATAGTAGATAAAAACATAACTACCAGAGTTTGCCCTTCTAATCACCAAAAACGTGATACACCCTCCTTTCAGCAGACAAAATATACTCATGCTCTCCCCAAGGAAGACAGCCCGAATGTCCCATCAGTCGTGGCATCAAAACTCAAAGTCCAGGATCCCTGGGTGATAGGTGCTAGTCTCTATCTCAGATCTGGATGCCAGTTAAAGACCTACGCACTTTCAAAATACAGCATCTGACATACACCCCAAACACAAAACACCTGTTATAACACTCCCATTCTGGAAGCAAACAGAAGAGCAACATATGGCAGTCCACAGCAACTGCAAGATCCCACTGGGCACTCACTGGGTGGGCCCAGATTCTCTGGGAGGTGTCCCCAGTTCATTATTTTTTGTGACCTTTAGATCTTCCCTTGGAAATCATTCCTTGTCTGAAGGTCAAGCTGCTTTCTCAGCTTCTCACCTGAAGAATGTTAAGGGCCCAGGGCTTGTTTTATGTTGTCATGGGCTCAGGGCTGCCTTAGTATTAAAACTCTCTTCAACATTTAGTCAGCTTCTTATGTCTTTGATTCTAGTCATTTCTATTTGCCAATAACCATATTCACAGTTCTACATAGACATCTTAGATTTTCTCTATTTCTTTGCTTCTTTACATTTAGGAATAAAGAAATATAGCAAATATATTTCTTTCTTTTCTCTCTCTGACTTAATTCCTAATGCCTTCAGCCTAAAAGGGTTCGGTGAGAAAACCATGAACTTAAATCATTTCTCTGAGCCACTCTTGTCCAGTTAAAAGAACTTAATTCATTCGGAGTTTTTAACTATAGGTGCAATAGCCATAAATTTGATTTGAAACTTGTTGTAATCCTGAGTCTTGATCAACCTCTGTTGTTCAAAGCATATCTAAATTTTCATTTTTATGGTTTGGAGTTGAGAAGCAACTTCATCTTCTGTCTCTACACGACCCTGAATTGTGACTTTTTCTATGCTCTTTCATTCCTGGTTATAAGCCTGCTGATCGTTTTCTGAACTCACTTCCTGTAATACATAGCGAAACAGTTGATAGTAACCATTGTGTGCTACCAATGTTTTGTTTTCCAATCTCTTCTCCTAAGACTATAAGGTCATTAAGAACATTGTTAGCTTTATTTCAGTGATAACTGTACAAAATATTTTGCCACTGTGTACCATGGATTGTCATCTTTATAGCTCCTCGCTATCTTATATCTGCTTCCCAAGCTGATGACACATATTTTAGGGTCTTTTTCTGTCCCTCTCTCCCCCCCTTTTTTTTTTTACCAGCAGCACCTCACTTCCATACCAATTTTTGTATTAGGTAAGGACAGGCTAGGCTTTGTTTCAGTAACAATATAGTCTAAAATTTCAGTTGTTTAACACAAATAAAGGTTTATTTCTTGTTTATATCGTCGTCCAATGCAGACTGGGCAGTTTTCCTACAGAGCTCTCCTCCAGTTGAGCTTTGGTTTTAATTTCAGTGTGGCCTATTTGAAGTAACATGAACCAGGGTAATTATGAAGCATCTGTGTGGTTGAGTAGCTTCTTTTTACATCTCTGCCCACTTCGCTTCCCCTAGAGGTTTCCAGGGATGGGGAAAGTGTCTCACCAGCGTGGCTGCTGCGATAGGGATGGAATGGGGTAGAGGAATGGGAAATGCAAGGAAGTTAGTGGGACTGGGGGGAAAAATAAGAACAGAAAGGGAACAGGATGAGGTGTGATGTGGCGGGACCTTCAGAAACCCCAGTGAAATAAACGCATGTCAGGAACTGAAAGAGCTGTCACTCACAGCAAGAACTGTCACTATCCCACTGGGGCGGGCAAAGTACTTGGAAGGAAAAGAAATTTCTGCAATGATATAATATTTTAGACCAACTTGGGAGGCCTAATAGCTGCTTGTAGGTGGTCTTCTCAGTCACTAGTGTAAATATTATTTTATTTTTAGGATGTGAAGTTCTGCTGATAAGTGCAGAAACATAAGAGTTCAGAGAAATAAAACACAAAAGCATGTTTTCCCAAAAGCTTCCATCAGAAAGCTAAGTTCACAGTTGTAAGCTGGAGATCTCATTCGTGTTTGTCTCCAAATGGTATAGATTAAGATACTTTTAAAAATATACTCATATCCTAATTTTGGGAAACATTCGGACAAAACAACAGACCCTTCTTTTAAAAATATATTTTTAACTTCCTGGATGTTGATTTTTTTTTTTAACTCCCTTTCAAAATATTTTTCTACCGGAGTCTATTCCACTTTTCCTTCCTCACAAACATGACTCTAAGCATGTGGGTTTCCCCAGTGATTCCCCAAGGCCTGATTAGCATCTCAAATTTTCTTCTTTAATAAAAAATTCAATCAGGACCCATTTAATGTTCCTGATTGGGTTTTTAAGTAGAAACAAAGCAGTAGTACAAGTTAAGTTGTAAAGGAAGCACAGGGGAGATGCGGACGTCTGCTTAGAGCAAGAGCAAGGACAGGATTTTGTTTTAATTTCTTTGCTTTCCAGGGGCTACAGACCTATGCAGTTGCAGGACTCCCACTTTGGGGTGCCTGATGTGCACATTTACATTCTTTAATGCAAAAGACCCAGCTCAGAGCAATCTGATGGAGAGTTCTGGGAACGGAATAAATGAGGCCATACCCTTAGGGGACCATTTCTTCTTTAAAGAAGGCCAGAGAAAGGAGAGGGAAACCTTACGTGCTGAAATGAAAGGTAGCTGCAGAGACTGGAGAGGAGAGAAGCGAATCAAGTCCCAGAAAATAGGCAGACATACAAGTGAAGTCATTGGAGCCAGAGGCTGGGGAGAGGGAGATTTTTGTGATTTTATATGATTGAATTCTTTTTTTTTAGGTTTCTTATATGATATATGGTTTAATTCTTAAAAGGAACCCATATTTCTCATTAGAAATGTTAGAAATCTGAACTTAGTGGATATTGGAATTCTTTATTAATGACTGCATACTTGCCATTCTCAGATTTATACATGTATGTGTGCATGTGTGCGTTTGTGTGTTTAATGTTGTATTTAAGTTTTATCTATGATCCATGGTTGACAAAGTCTCTTAAGAGATAGACTTAGGTAAATTATCTTGATTCTATGCACTTGACCAGAATGAAACCCGTCTCACCTTTGCCAGACTTAAAAAACCTTATCTTTATAAAAGGCTGGAATAGAGACAAATTAGTTTTGGGATCCAGGTCTTCTTGCCATGAAGTTGTCTGGGATTTTTTTCTACTCTTCCAATATTTCATAAATCAATATAGTTCATTTCAGAAATTTTGTAGATGCACAGCTAGTATGGTTGAAAATACCTTTTCAACATTTATCCGTTATATCGATTTTCTTCCCACAAACTATTCTGAGAAATGCAGGTTGGGAAAGAAAAAAGAAAAATCTCTTTAGCTTGGCTATGAACAGTAGCTGCTGATCTAATGGGTGAAAAGTAGAAAAATACAGGTCTCCGTGGTTTGGGGTAGAACAACCATTCCATTGTGCTTGTACCAGCTAGAGCCTACCATAAATTAACACTTTTAGTACATAGATCCAGACAGCCTGAAGAACAAATCACGTTCTTCAAACTCTATCATAACATACTGTGAAAGTATGGTTTGAACAGTGAATCTAACAGTTCTGCCTCTTGATTGATGGCTACGGTAGGAAGCAAGAAGGTATGCCCTGGGGTTATCCTTCTACAGTGAACACAAGTATTTGTAGGGAGGGAGTTAAGCAGTTTTTGTGGTAGCAAGAGGAAGACAAGCAAAGATAAAAGTATGGAGCAAAGTAAAGAATCTACATAGAAATAATCAAAAGTTGGCTAATCATCAATAATGTAAAATAATAATATAAATTATTATTACGTTAAAATTTGCTGCGTGTTTCTGTATAAGATCTTTTCCTATTTTGAAGGTGACAACCTAGTGCTTCGTCCCAAATATGGAAGCTGTATTGTGGGAGATCATCTGTTGGCATGCATCTAAAAATACATTGCACAAGTTCTCTTGATTAAAAGGAAATCAGTTTCATTGATTAAATTTTGTAATACCTTCAAACACAAAAGGTTAATGTACTTTCTCATAAGCTTTTTAAATGACTGTCTGTGTTGAAGGTAATCACTAGATACGTAAGCAAGAAATAACTCTCAAGCCTCATGATAAACTACACGTAACCTTGAATTAAAATATTAATGTGTTTCAGGTGGCTGAACTTGTAACCAGTGAGTTCTTCGAACAAGGAGATCGGGAGAGATCAGAACTCAAACTCACTCCTTCAGTAAGTTCATCCTTTTATTATCACGTATTTACCCTTTCAAATGACATTTTCAAAAATAACTCCAAGTCACAAGTTGAAAATGGAAGAGACTGAGAATGGATTTAAGGAAGCACTCCTGAAAGTTTAAAGCTTTAATTAAACTCAAATGCTAAACACTGTTATTCCCAGGTTTCTGATTAAGAGTGGTGAGCTACTTAACAAGCATTTCCTGAGCACCCACCGTGGAACAAATAGGCACAAGGGAGGATGTGCAAAACGGAATTTGAATAATTCAAAGCCTGGTGCTGGCATTTCATATATGCCTACTTTGTAATAGAAATATTGTACAGCAAAAAAATTAAAGGCAAGCTGTCCAGACTTGAGAAGCTAGATTTTATTTTCTAATTTTAAACTTTTCAAAATCCCAAAAGCAAATCATTTCAAATCTCTGTTTCTTTTCTTTGTTTGCAAAATGAAAAGTTCCACTTGGGGAACCAGGCTCCGGTGACTGGGATGCTATTTATGCTGGACTCGCTCATACAGTTATTATTTGAGAATGCTCACTATAGGCTCAAGATGATGCTGTTTTTATGCATCAGGATACAAAAGTCATAAGTGCCTCATTCACTATCCTCAAGGAGGGGGCAGCCTCTGTATTCCTAGTGAATGATTAGCTAAAAACATATAAACCAATGACTCTGAGAGTGGTGCAAACTATTTTCAAGCCTAGCACAGCACAGTAGATTCAATGAAGCTTAAAAAATGTGTCAATTGTCAAGAAGTGTGTTTACAAGGCTTCAAATCAACTGAGTCTCCAACATTTGGAGGTATTTATAAGATCTTCAATTTTTAAGAGACCCTTCTTTGTTGACATTAAACACAAGAACTATCTCCTAGCTTGAATCGTTTCACCAGTTTGAAGTCAGAACTCACAGCCTTACTAATTTTGAGTCTTCTTAATCAGTTGCTTATGTATAAAAGGTCAGAAGACTTCATAGGCTGAAACACTAATTATTTTAGTTTTCAAAGCAACATACATTTATACAATTTTCAAATCCCTGTATTCTTCTTTAGTGGTGTCACCAAATTTGGTTATAAAAATAAAGATATTAGATTGGAATGCATACAGTGACTGTGTAAAACCTGGTACAACCCAAATTTCTTTCAGCTACACACCTACTTTCAGATAAAAGCTTTTTTCCTCTTAAAAACTGTTTGAGAGGCATTATAATGCAGCAATACCACAGGTCATTTAATTAAATGGAAAAAAATATATATATGAGAAAATTGCCAGAGTCGGTGAGCTGCCGGGTGCAGCGGCGCAGCACTAAGGAGCCTTTATCTGTGGGCTCAGGTAAGGCGTGTTCTGAAGATATAAATGAAATTAGTTTTGTGGTAGAAACATAGCTCTCAATGCTACTGTCTTCTCACAAAAGGCTACTCAACACAGCTGGTGACCGTCTCTCAAGAGAGGCTTGGCTGCTGTGGCAGAGTTATCCCTCATTAGTCCTTTTCCAGAAATGTCTGGAAATGCAGGCAGATAGATAGCAGCCAGAGATAAATGCAGCCAGAGATAAATGCAGCCAGAGCTGATAGTTGCCCTTGATAGTTAGGAAGAAAACTGTCCTGGAGCCCCCTCAGGTATCATGGTCCCAGAAGTCTCTGGAGTGACTTATGAAGACAAAGGCTAATATGGACCACAGTCAGCACTGGAAGCAGTGAGTCAGCTAATAAAGCTGCTTGAGCACCTCCATGTGTCCAGCGTGAAGCCAGGTCCTGTGTATCCAGCAATGAGCAAGATGCCACCTCCCCTCCCCTCAAGACCCATGCCAACATTAAAAAAAATTTAGACATTAAACAAATATTCACTAATACTCAATACAAAGTGCTCTGAAGGAAAAGCACAGGACAATGTGGGATCTCACACTCATTTTTCTCTCATCAAGCATTGATTAAGAAGAAATTAGTCCAGAAATAAGCCCTTACAATTATGGTCAACTGATTTTCAACATGGGTGCCAAGACAATTCAGTGGGGGGAAAACAGTCTTTTTAACAAATGGTTCAGGAACCACTGGATATCCACAGGCAAAAGGATGAGGTTGGTCCTCTACCTCTCGAGATACCCCCAAATAAAGTCAAAATGGATGATAGACCTAAATGTAAGAGCCAAAACTCTTAGAAGAAAATGTAGGTATAAATCTTCTGGGTTGGGTTTGCCATGGTGTCTTAGATATGATACTAAAAGCACAAAGAGACAAAAGATAAAATGGCCTAGAGATGTTGGTCCAGAGATGTTGAATTGTACTTTCTTAAAAGTAAATTGGACTCCATCCATATTAAAAAATTTTGCACATCAAAGGATACTATCAAGAAAGTGAAAAGACAGCCTACAAAATGGGAGAAATTATTTGCAAATCCTATATGTGATATGGGCCAGGTACCTAGACTCTACAAAGAACTGTTATAATTTAACAATAGAAAGACAAATAACTCAATTTTAAAAATGGGCAAAGGATCTGAATAGACATATCTCCAAAGAAGATATATAAATGGCCAATACGTACATGAAAAGATGTTCAAAATCATTTGTCATCCAAGAAATGCAAACTGAAACCACATGAGATACGACTTCACACCCACTCAGATGGCTATAATCAAAAAGTCAGACAATAGCAAGTGTTGGTGAGGCTGTGGAAAAAATAAAACTTCATATATTGCTGGAAGGCATTTAAATGGTGCAGCTGCCTTTAAACAACAGTTTGTCAATTCCTCAAAAAGTAAAACATAGAGTTATCATATGACCCAGAAATTCTACCTCTAGGTATATGGTTTATCTCCAAGAGAAATGAAAACTATACATCCACACAAAAAACTGGTACATGGATGTTCATAGCAGCATTATTCATAATAGACTTGAAATAACTCAAATATTGATCAACTGATGAATAAATAAAATATAGCATATCTATACAATGAAATATTATTTGGCAATAAAAATAAATGAAGTGCTGATGAATGCTGCATAGATAAACGTTGAGAACATTATGCTAAGTGAAAGAAGCCAATCACAAAAGACCACATATCATATGATTCCATTTATATGAAATGTGCAGAAAAAACAAATCCAATGAGATAGAAAGTAGATTAGTGGTTGCCCAAGGCTGGGAGTTTGGGAAAAAATGAAGACTGACTGCTAATGGTATGGGGTTTCTTTTGGGGGTGATAAAAATGTCCTAAAATGGATTGTAAGTGATGGCTGCACAACTCTGTGAATATACTATAAACCACTGCATTAATAAAAGAAGTAACTTTATAATACCCACCAGAAACAGAGTAATTAAATAAATGCGAAAATTTCAAATAGCAAAGAGAACTATGGAGAAAATAAAACAGAATAGTATATTTTAAAGAAACGTTTTGGAGCAAGATTCATGCAGTTCTCAAGAACTATCCCTTTCTCCAACATATTTTCACAGTTGTCTCTGAATTCCAGTCTTCTTTCCTGACGTTTCCCATTCCCATTGCAAGACAAGGACGAGCAGAGCTGGTGGAAGTCAGTGACCTTCTCCTTAACTGAGTGACAGTTTCCTCAGATTTGGCAGCTAGTGATTTCTGCCACAGCCACTCCCGCTCTTGTTTATAAGTCCGACGGAGGCTTTTCCAACATCTCTGGATGAAAGGGATTTCTTGAATCTGCCCTCATGACACCAAAATGATATGGATGCCACGTTTTATCTAGAGGAAACACAAAACTTCCTCTAAGACCATAAGGCAGGGCAAGTTATGCCTGGACAACCTGGTCTTCTAGATAGGTAAGGGCACTAGGTAGCTCCTTAGGCCCTGGGCTTGTCCTTAAGAACAAAGAGAGGGACATTCTCACTGGTGTAGAATTGTCAGTGTTTATTCAAGGAATCTATTTTAACCTTCCAGTTCCAATTGATTATTTCCCTTGTTAAGTCAGCCTAAGAGAAAGTATGTCATTTCTTTTTCTCAAAAATATACCTAAATAATCTCAAACTTTATAACATCATAAAGTTTAAAAGTTTGGAATGAAGAAAGATGAGTGCCTCCCACCATCAACCATCCAAAGATAGATAAGTATTTAGGAATTTATTAATGACAGTATCTTATTAGAAAATACACATAATTGCCAAACCAGCACTCCACCCTAAAAAATTAATACAAACTGTTCCTATTTAATATAAAATTGCTTTTAAGGATCTTTTCCAATCTATCCCATTCCAGCCAATCCTCTCACTATAGAAATAAAGACCTGCATTATTTTTGTGACAATAAAACATATTTCCTTCCTTTAACTTTATCCAATTCCCAGTGACCTGAGAACTTGATTTAGTAGCAGTTACCTGTATCTGAAGACAGATTTTGGCCCCACAAAGTTGCACACTATAAAGTTCAAATAAATGCACTTACAAATCTCATAAAAAGGGGTAAAAATACTTTGTTTCTCATAGGTACAGGAAAAGAAAGTACGTGTGAAGATTGATTATGATTTGGGAAGTGTTCAGTTTGCAAACATGGGACTATTGTGGCAAAGCGTTTGACAAAGCACCTTAAAATACTTCCGGTGTGCTAAAGCAAGCTTTTCCTCCCCTATTCTAGGCTATTTTTGATAGGAACCGAAAAGATGAACTGCCTCGATTGCAATTGGAGTGGATTGATAGCATCTGCATGCCTTTGTATCAGGTAATGTTGATTTGGGAGGGTCTGCATGTCCCAACTGAGCCAGAATAGTAAGTAAGGTATTTCAGAAGCATTCGTTTTAGGAGACCCTTCCAGGGTACAAACATTACTAAGAACTCTGGGTGCACTTTGTCTTTTCCTGGGTTTCTGACCATCCCCAGGGAAGAGTTTTGCTTTCTAAGACATAATCTCCATGGGCTCAACTTCCTCCTCTGTAAACCAGGGGTAATAACATTTTATCTCAATATCTCCCAAACTGTGCCCCATAGAACATAAATATCCAGCTGTAATCCAATAGCTCTCTCTTCAAAGAAGAGCTCACAGACCCAAGAAACACGTGAGTGTTTCAGTGTTTTTTAATTCAGAGTTGATTAACTCTGAATCTCTCAAATATATTTGATTACAGAAATCTTTTTTATTTTTTACAAATTTTCTTTTACTTTATTAATACCAGGTGACACATGAGGGTTCCATGAAACGTGGTGTTCTGCTCTGACCCCATGATCTGGGCCAGGGGGGTTTTGTGAAGCACCTTCCATTTTCAAAAGCTGCCTCTCTCTGAGACACATGCGACGAATCCCAACCAGTGAATTCTGAGCGAGATGCACTAAGGATTCCTAGCTCTGCTCCCTGGTGTGCAGGACTCTGCTCCTGGCAAGGAGACAAGTGTCACTTTCAATGGTTCACACTCCACTTTTTGAGTATGGATTAGGGCTGGCATCCGTTAATACTAACAGTTTAGTGTACACTGGCTTTTAATTCTCCTTCTAAGAATTTGCTTTCACATGTAAAACCTGGCAAGTTCTTTACCCCCTACCTAGCTCAATCATACTGAGCTTCTTTTTTAACTTCAAAGTGAGAAACATGCAGGGAAAGCAAAACCTCTTTAGTTTCTCACTCCATGTAGCTCCATTAAAGACACAGTATTGTTTTTTAAGGACCTCACAATCATTAAGTTCAAGCTCGTCTACCACTTTGTTTTCACCACTTTTAGGAACTGCTGAGCCTTGTCACAGTACCCTAAAAAAAAAAAAAAAAAAAAAATAAACTTAGAAGAGTATTGAAGATAGAAATGTAATCTTTTTTTAATTTTTTTAGAGACAGGGTCTCTTTCTAGCACCAAAGCTGGAATGCAGTGTTGTCATCATAGCTCACTGCAGCCTTGAACTCCTGGGCTCAAGTGATCCTCCTGCCTCAGCCTCAGGAGTAGCTGGGACCACAGACAGGCACCACTATGCCCAGCTAATTTTTTTTTTTTTGTAGAGACAGGATCTCACTATGTTGCTCAGGCTGGTCTTGAACTCCTGGCCTCAAGCGATCCTCCTGCCTCAGCCTCCCTAAATCCTGGAATTACCCGCATGAGCCACCTCATCAGGCCTGGAAATATAATTTTTTAATAACTATAAATGATAAAAGTAAATTTTTGTTTTATATTATCCTTAAATACATGGTAGCATAAAGTCAACCAAAATTTTCAAATAATGTAAAATTGATTATTTTAGTTATAAATGGGACATAATGTTCTTTTATTTAACAATGAAAGATTGGGCCAAAAAAAAAATCAAGAATGATGTATACTTTATTATAAGGGGATCCTCAATTCTCTTTTCCTCCTATCTGCTCCTCCCATCCTTGATGTCTCTGGAGAAGCTGGCCCCCATGTGTAAAGCCCATGGCTGTTGGGTCACATATATCTTGCTTTGCTAACTTGACCTTGACTACCCGCATGAATTATTTTTTAATGTTATTCAGTTTCCTGTGCACACTTAGGCAATAAATGGGATGAATAAATTATTCTTCCATTTAATAAAATCCTCTTACTGTGGGTAAAGCTTGGGAGGATGATGACATGTGGTGGGGGTGGGGATGATTAATTTTTGGTACTGGTCTGCAGAGCTATTTTGGAGTGAACCCAAAGTCTACATACACTCTTCCTGTGCGATTCCTTACAGTACATGCTGTAAAGCTGCTGTCCCCAACCCCCGGGGCTGTTACAAACTGGGCCTCACAGCAGGAGGCGAGTGGCCAAGGGCAAGTGAAGCTTCATGTGTATTGACAGCCACTCCCGATCACCTGCGTCACCACGTAAGCTCCACCTCCTGTCAGGTCAACAGCAACATTAGATTCTCCTAGGAGCCAGACCCTATCATAAACTGCCTATTTGAGGGATCTAGGTTGCACGCTCCTTATGAGACTCTAAGGCCTCATGATCTGAGGTGGAGCTGAGGTGAGGATGCTTGTGCTGAGGAGTGGCTGCACATACAGATCATCGTTAGCAGAGAGGTTTGACTGCACAATAAATGTAACGTGCTTGAATCATCCCAAAACCATCCCCCCTGCCACCCTCTGTGGAAAAACTGTCTTCCATGAAACCTGTCCCTGATGTCAAAAAGGTTGGGGACCGTTGCTATAAAGGATCCTCAGGTGGTTTTCCATATTAATTTAATGGTTTTATTACTGACTCACAATTATTAGGGCTTATCTTTTATTTCCTATTAAATACTTTGAAATATTCAGGTTAAAAAGGAAGTTACTTGGATTTAAATAGAAAATAGCAGTTTCTAGAATTTAGGGAGTAATATTATCCCTTCATGGTATGTATCATCCTGATCTTTCACATCTGTTTTACTTCACGATTATACTTTTCTGTGAGGTTATGTACACCGGCTGTTTTCATCTGCAGGAAATAAACATGTAGAAAGATTAAGCGATGTTCCCACCAAATGAGAGTCGTGTCCTGCTCACCCATGACCTCTGTTTTTGTGTGGTGGCCTTTCTACTACTCCTCTCCACCTCTGAGGGAAATTTCCTCCGCTATTTTTTTTATTATTTCACTACCTGGGGCGAGGCATGCCATTCCGAAAGGGAACATGGAAGGAGCTGTTTACAAAAGCTCACATTGATACGTGCTGCTATGCCTTCTCATCTAAAGAGGACGAAAATCTTGCTCCTTTTGATTCTTTATCGCCACTAATTTTTTTTAAAAACTGATGATTTCATTTGTAAGTTTTTTACAAGGCTTCAAAACCAACCTTTCGAGAACCCTCAAACTGAAACTTTGTGGAGTTTAAGTATCCTCTCAAAGGGTCCCTATTTTGTTTCATCTCTTGCAGTGGGTTTCTTTTTCCCACTATTTACCTGGACGATCTCACATCAATTGTTGGTGCTCCCGACCAGGAGTGGAATCAATCAGTGGGCAGGAATCACCACAGTGGGAAGACACAAAATCACGAGGAAATAACAAGCCAGGAAAGTCACTGATGTGACACTAGTCACTGAGGCAACTCAGCAAAAGGCCAGACCAGGGTTTTGAGCTTCAAAGTGCAATAACAAGTCTACCTGAGGAGATAGAAGGCACATGGGGCAGTACGCAGGTGGCAGGAATCTCAAATGTGATTGGTCTGAAATGGCATGGGCTGAAATAGAGAGCATAAGAATCCAGTTTGACCTTGCTTGGTTGGTCTGGGCACATGGCAAAAGAATGCAGAATAGCGCATACGAGACAAGATGTCCTCTCTAATGGCCAAGGCCCCGACCCCAAGGTGGGGTAGGCTTGGCTGCCAGGAAACCTCATGCAGAGCCTAAGACAAACAGATTCTCCTAGAGAGGGCGGGGGGATCCTCCTGCAGGTGGGGAGTGTGAAGCGATGGAGGTAGGGGAGGGTGGAAGCTGACGCTGAGGTAGAGGGAGGGTGGACTCACAGCTGGGCAGTAGATACAAACATGGCTTTACTGTAGCTTTTTTACTTCATTGCCTTTCGCTGGGTAGTTCGGTTTTATTTCGTGGTTTTAAAAGGATTGTGCTTGTCAAATAGATCAAGCACTTTCCGCTTGTGCTCCTGTTCACTGAGTTTGTCTCTCCCCAAGCAAAGGGTAAAGAGTATCGCTTCTCTCGTGGGCCTGAAGGGCTACTTATTTGTGTGCCTGGTTAGGAACCCACATCGGTCCACTTCGGATGCCCATTGGGTTTAAAATCGAAACTTGTCTCTGGGATAACTTCAGTTTCCAGCCAATCTGTGACTACGTTGAGGGAAAAATGATGAGGAACTCCCTGTCCTCCAAAATCTATTTATTAGGAAGTTACCTAAGTAACCTAGTGATTGACTGAAAGTGACACACAGAAAATCTATAAAAATATATAAATAAAACAGAAAAAAGCAATTGTGGGCCCTCTTTACATATGTATTGTACTAAGAGAGGCTGACTGGTTCTCTCTCAAGGGGAGGAAGAGAGCGAGTAATTGTGGCATTGATTTAGCTCTCATACCATGCCAGGTGGGAGGGCACATGCAGAGAATGTCCCAAGATCCATGGAAAGTTATATGATAAGGACATAGGCCATGTTTATCTACATGCCTTTATATCTGAGCATATAGTTCTCTGGAATTTGCTCATCTTTTTAATCACATGATTCCAAACTTTTCTTAAAAACAAAAAAGAAAAGAAAAGAAAATGGTCCTAACAGGCACAAGTCATGATTTATCTGTGACAGCATTTTAATCAGGACGCATATAGGAAGCCTGGAGTGGGCAGGGAACCATCAAAGCACGTTGCCCCAGAGAAGACTAAAGCCCTGGTTAGTTAGCTCTGTCCTAGCAGGGTATCTCGGGAGGAATACATTGACTTCTGATTCCCAGCTTTCTGCTGTCTTTGCACCCTGCTGGGGATCCATTAGCCTGCTGCTCAACATCTTTGGAGAAAAAAAAAAAAAGAAAGAAAGAAGAACTGAAAAAAAAAAGACACCATCAAACTTTGAAGTCATTGCTTGCACCAGCCTTAGGGATAAACAGAAAGCCTCATGTCATCAAATCATTCTGAGCTGCTCTTTGCAATAGCAAGCTGAGTTTAGGCTCCTAATTCTCATTTTCATTCTCAACTTAATCAAACCTCAGTGTACCTAGAATGTCAATGGTGCACAGAGGCATTATAAATCTTCTGTTAAGGATTGAGGGATGTAATTTTTATTATGAACATAATCAGATTTTCAGCTCATCACAAACTGGCT